TTGAAATCATGATTACACCGACGAGGAATTGAGAGAGAATCCTTGTTTTTGGCTTTGGTTGTGGCGGAGACGGCGAGGTAGACGGTGGCTCGCCGGAGATTCGATCATCATTGGTCGGAGGCATCGCCGCCCAAAATTAAAAATCTTCTCTTTTTCTTTAATTTTTGGCTTCTCGTTCTTTTAACAGAATCTAATGTGAATAAGGAAAAAGATCTGATATTTTTTGAGAAGTGAAATTCTAAATCAGAGATATTTCTAAAGAGGAATCAAAATAGGTTTCAGAGAAAGTTTGTGAAATTTGAGAAATAAAAATGGATTCTAATCTTAGTAACGTTTGGTTCATGTGATGAAAGTGACTTTTATTTTACTTTTTTTGGGTTTGGTTCATGTGATATAAGACTTTAATATATGGTGTTTTTTGGCTTCATGTTTGGGAGTTTATCATGTTATCTTTGAACTATAAAATAATAATTTGTCTTAATAAATATCTTTGGTATCCAATAATTTTAAATATTATCTTCAAGGAAAAAAGCCAAAATATTATCCCACTTTTTAAGACCATAGTATGGAAAAAGATGGAATATTCGAACTTGTTTTTTGGTTTTAAAAATAATATTCTTACTTGAAGGACTATGAAACCGCTACTATCTAAACACTCGTTCTGAACATTGATTTGTTATCGACGTTTTAAGCTTTTATTTCGCTACCTACACAGTTTTGTAAGTGTGTCATTTGCATTTTCTTCAGAGGGAAAAGTTTATTTTAGCATTATTTACATCAATAAGAATTAAAAACACACATTTTCTTTGTGAAAAAAACACAACCGAAACCAAATAGGAAATTTGTAATAAAAAGAGAAGGTGAAATGCAAAATTAACTTATAAGTTTGGTATCTTTGATTATGAATATTCGAGTTTTAAGATTGAATTAAAATGCATAAAGTATCAAAGTGAAAATATAAGGAACATTTTGTCCATCCCTAATCTAATGTCTTAATAGGCAAAAGAGATTGCGACAAACCGACAGAACCAGTTTCCTCGGTTAAACCACTCGTTATCTCTCAACCACACTGATTAAAAAGACTAGAAGACTCTTTACTGATCGAGAAAAATTTGTTT